GGTCTAGGCTACTACTTAGCTCACATTAATACTATTTTTCGTATGTAAGGAGAGTTTCGAGACTACCAGTAAATCAGTAATATGAGATGTATTCACCCTATTTAGTTTAAGGTGATGAAGGACGGGTAGAAGAATTTTTCCACAATGCTATGAGCAGAGCTGACGTTTCCACCGAATTTCATATATTCGTGATTTCCCAAAAGTTGCTCTCATCCAGGCACCAGTTGACTGCAGTTTCGACCTCGCATCGGTCTTATCAACACCCCCAGCGGGTGTCGAACCGTGACAGTGCAGCATGTGAGCTTGGCACGTCAGCCACTCGGTCACATTGCCACGAGTGCTCTTGGGTTACAGGGCAGATGTGAATTTTAAGGAAGGCCAGCCCTCTTGATATATTATATTCTTTGGTGGGATTGTCGATGAATTAAACGTATATTTGCTATAACAATCAACTACGTTACTTATTTTCGTATGTAGAGCTTCGAGACTAACAGTAAATCAGTAATATGAGTTCACATTATGCACTTTCACGGTTCGACTCCCGCTGTGGGTGTTGATAAGGCCTATGCGAGGTCAAAACTGCAGTCCACCCTGGATGAGAACAACTTTTGGGAAGGCAAGGCTATGTGAAATTCAATATAAACGTCAGCTCTACTCATATCATTGTGGGAAAATTCTACTACCCGTCCTTCATCATCTTAAACCAAATAGGGCGAATACATCTCGCATTAATATTAGCAAAAACATAATCGAATTCACCTTTATCCAAGCAATGAAGGAGCAGAGTACAATAGCTCTGTTGAATTGAACTTGCCAGTAGCTGATCGACTCCAAATTGATGTAACGTTCTTGGTCCTTCATGGATACACCTAGATTGGATTTGATGTCTAAATTGCGATAGATGTTGAAGCCAAAGCAGACGAGACTCAATATAATGACAAGCATGTCACTTATATTCCAGAAACTTTTAAAATAAGCCAATCTGTAATACTCGAGCTGAAATGGATTAGATATTAAAACGATATTTACTTTATTAGTAACATTATTACTACTATTTATTATTATTATTATATTTTAACAAAAACTAGTGACAGTATTCATGAATATACACATATCGTAAAAATCGTGGAAAATATAAAAAAGACTTATCAACTCAAAGATATATCAGAACAAAATCATAAAAATATTTCTTAAATCCCCTTCATTTTACTACCAGGCAAGGTAAAATGCACTTATTGGGATTCGTTAATATTACTTTGAAGTAAACTTCAACCAAATTGTTGAGTAAAAGTCATCGTGTGATTTAGTTGGATTATGGCATCAAAGAGAAAACCGGCTTTGCAAGAAAACTCTACAGTAAAGGGGTAGGCTTCAGTTTTACTTCATCCAGACATAATTAATTAAAAAGCATATTTGCTTTATTCATGCACATTATACACGAATTAATCAGTTGCGAATATTCCTGCAGTCGTTTTGTGACGAATAGAAAGTGTATAAAAAGTGGTGGATGCAAGATCTCTTGTCATCACCACAGGCATCAAGCAGTTATAAAAATATTGTCACTACCTCTAGGACCTCTTCAATCAGGTAATAGATAACGAAGACCATGTAGACGACCTCAATCGCCATCAATACATAATCGATAGCGTTGACGTAGCGCAGAAGTTTGACAGGCCGCAAATCACATGACGTCAGTACGCCTCCGCTATACGGCATCTCGAATAACATTCTGAAAATTGAATTACGCCAACACAATATAATATTCAGTAGGGCCGAGGTCAGATGAATAGATCCAATTTCTGAATACTTACACTCAATGCTACTTCCATAAAAAAATACAATTTTTAAGCCTATGCTTTCCACTTCTGCAAAATCTCTTAGACAAAATGAGGATCACTGGGATCAATAAGTAGGTGATGTCAACTGCGCATACTCATCCTTGAGACCATTCGAAATCGTCAGGACTACTATTTTAAAATTTATGAGTAAATATAGCTTGGCGAGTTATATAACCATGCCTATTTCAAGAAGGATTTGCTATCGAAGAATTACCCAGTCACATAGTCTAACATGACTTTCCATTTCAGAAGTAAAGTTGGTTGGAAGGAAACCGAAGAAGCTCCCGCCTGTACTATGATGGACAAAATTAAGGCCAGAATTCATACTTTACGAACTAGCGCAATAATACACTAAAACAAAAGAAAATGTGGCCGGCCGCGGCCCTAGTCATACTTATATTTTCGAGTAAAATGAGTCATGTCATAAACTGTGCATATGATAAGGAAGAGGCCTAGCCTACCTTGAAGGACTTGTATACGCAGCAGCGCTCGAGGCAGTGTGGGTGGTAACTTGTCGAGATTATACGATACATCACAAAGGTTAGAGTCCCGCTGGGGGTACTTATGCGACAATTTCAGACAAAGTCAAACCTGCAGATCACCCTGGATGAGATTAGCCTTTTAGAAACGTGATGCCTACTCATGTCATTGTGGGAAAATTTAACGACCAGTCACTCATCATCAGGTGCGACCAAGGTCTATTGAAACACATATTCAAGATCTACCGATATTTTCGAGATCTAATTTATATGATTTCGCTCATTTCAAACAAAAATTTGTCTATAAATCAAAAATCGTATATACTCGAAGACATTGTTTAGGTTGTTGGCTTTTACATTTATTCTAGAAACCTGAATAAAAGCAAAGGTAATAGATATAATAATTTGTCAAAGATAAGTATATTCGTCCTTTTCTCAATTTTAGAAACCTGTCTGTGTGATAACTCGTCACTTTCCAAGAAAGAATAAATACATCAGCGAGTAGTATTGCCGTGCTGCTAAGCTTAACTGTGACGCTTCTTTTGCAAAACTACGTATTTTTCGGTTGTCTCTCCTTTAAACCTAAAGTGTCTACCACAAGAAGGTACAATGAAAAAGTATTTTCAACTGTAGTCCCATAGCTACTAACTCCCTATTTATTTAGAAAGTTTGTGCGACTGGATTTGGGACAAAAGTATGTATTGTTAGAAGGACCTTCATTTCGTATGAAAGTGCATGAAGAAGAGATTCATTGGTCGATCTCACCGGATGAGGACGGATGAAACTTGTTGTACTGCAGCCGGTTGGATTGTATAGGATATTCATGTTGACGCAGTC